TCTAAAAGAAGACATTTGTATGTATTTCCCATAGGGTCCTATGTTAAACTAAGTCCCCTGCTGGCGGCCATCTTGGATTATGGATCAGCTTCATAGTAACAACACTTGGTCAGCACCTCATAAGGAACATTCATGCCATGTTTGGTTTCATTCCATTCAGTGGTTCTCTAAAAGAAGACATTTGTATGTATTTCCCATAGGGGCCCATGTTAAACTAAGTCCCCCGCTGGCGGCCATCTTGGATTATGGATCGGCTTCAAAAGTCAGCACCTCATAAGGAACATTCATACCATGTTTGGTTTCATTCCATTCAGTGGTTCTCTAAAAGAAGACATTTGTATGTATTTCCCCATAGGGTCCTATGTTAAACTAAGTCCCCCGCTGGCGGCCATCTTGGATTATAGATCGGCTTCAAAGTAACAACACTCGGTCAGCACCTCATAAGAAACATTCATGCCATGTTTGGTTTCATTCCATTCAGTGGTTCTCTAAAAGAAGACATTTGTATGTATTTCCCATAGGGTCCTATGTTAAACTAAGTCCCCCGCTGGCGGCCATCTTGGATGATGGATCCGCTACAAAGTAACAACACTTGGTCAGCACCTCATAAGGAACATTCATGCCATGTTTGGTTTCATTCCATTCAGTGGTTCTCTAGAAGAAGTTCAAAATGTAAAAAGTTTACGCCGACGACGGACGACGACGGACGACGCCGGACGACGGACGACGGACGCCAAGTGATGAGAAAAGCTCACTTGGCCCTTCGGGCCAGGTGAGCTAAAAAGGAAGTTACAGGGACTTATTACCTATCAGCTCGCATTGCTATGTGTGAAAATTAAACTACTAAAACAACAGCCCCAATAAATGATGACAAAACATGGTTGAAAGTAATAAAAGTGATATTTGAAAACTCTCTTAAACAATAAAATATTTCTTATATTAACTGTGAGACAAAATCATCTTCATGCAGGAAATGGAAGGTATAATGGACCTTTACTCTTATAGCTTTTGTAATTTATGGTTAAAACCAAAAACTATATAATGTAGTATAAATTTTACCTTTAATTTACATAATAAATTTTTACATACACATAGTGCAACCATCTTTACCTTAAGCAACAAACTGTAACCTTAGGACTCTTTTTGGAACTTCTAAACAATATAAGACAACAACAAAAGCAGTGCAAAATGAAATGATTGCAATGCTATAGTCAGTACAAAAACCACCTGACGAGTTTCCTTGCCTGGGACGAAACATTTTTTATCTTTTGTACTAATAAATCACTGTAAATCTATTACTCCATTCTTTTTGTCACACTTTACATTAGGCTGGCATGAAAAGAATACAATAACAAAAGAAGATAAAGAGTGGTTTTATAGTAATGTCCACTCAAAATTTCAATCGACCAGTATTTGCCAGTATTTCCCGGTATTTACCGCTGCTATTGTCAATACTAGTATTGACCGATTTTTTTTGCCAACCGTGGCTATATTATCAACAAAAACCAAAAATTCCGACAAGTTGTGCCAAAAAAGACAAATGATGGAAAAACATAAATTGGTTCGAATAATGTTAAGATTGATTGTTTTAATAATGAATTGAAACATAATTTGATATGTATTTCTATACAGTTTTGAACACTTGACACCGCACTAGGTCGTGCTTTTCTTAAACTGTCGATGACGTATTTATATTTTATATTTTTGATATCTACTGATTTTTTTTGAGTCCCGAAAGCAATGATTTATTAATTAGTTGTAACAAGATTTAAACTAGCTTTAAGTAACTGCGAGTAATTTTAGATCGTTAATAAGTGCCTTTTTGTTAGTTGTTAAAATGCTTCGTGTTGATGTGCTACATTGTGATAAGTCAGGCCAATTCCATGGTTCGTGTGTGTCCGGAGGTGCGATTCGCACACAGAAGGTTTTTACGGTGTTGTTTTCATTTTGTTTACTCTTGAATTAAGAGATAACTGTATTGTATTCAAAGCTTTGTGGACGTCCATCGGTAGTTTTACTGTCGCAAATTGAGTTTACCTGTCGACGCGTAGCGGAGACAGGTAAACAGTTATTTGCGATAGTAAAACTATCGATAGACGTCCGCAAAGCTTCAAATACAATACAGTTATCTTTATTCTAATGCAAAATAAACAAATCATTCAATTTTAGTTATTAATGATGTTATCTTCTTCGGCGCTTAAACTAGATGACGTCATAGGTATGCTTCCGGCGTCAAACGAAACACCGGACGCTTTCCGGCTTCTTGTCCGCCTCAAAATGTAATAAAATTTGATAAAAAGAAGATTTCTAGGTGCAAAATGTAAGTTTATTTGCTTAATATTGGAGAAATTACATGTCAATACATTCCAGAATTCAAAATGTCGGCTTCCTTAGTTACAGACAGGGAGATAGAGAATTTTACGCTTATTGTCATCTAATCAAAACCATTGATACAAAATATTTGCATTAGAATTTATGTTTTACTTAATTTGTACTTGTATACCATATACTTTATGTACTCTCAACTACAAAAACTTTTTTATAAGCATCTTTGTTAAATTAACTATCAACTACAAAAACATTTTTTGTTGGCGTCTTTTTCAAATTTACTATCAAACACAGCTATTTTTTTGCTGGCGTCTTTGTTAGATTTGTTTGTATGTTTGTTTTAATTTTTTAGTCAGTTGTGTAGTATGTCTGTCATGTATGCGTACAGTTTTGGCTGCTGCATCCCAATTATAACGGAACTATGAATAACTATCCTACATTTGGGTGGTTTAGCTAGCTATAAAACAAAGTTTAACCAATATTTTTCTTCTGAAAATGCTTGTACCAAGTAAGGAAAAAGACAGTTGTTTACCATCCGTTCCATTGTTTGATAAAGTCAAATTTTGATTTTGTGAGTTTTTATGGAGTTCCCCTTTTTGAATTTACCTTAGAGTTCGGTATTTTTTTAATACTATTTTTACAGATTGTATTAATATTATGCGGATACACTTTCAAAAGTTAACGGGAGGGATGAGCGATCTCAATTATGTTTAAGTCCGCCACATTTGTATATGCTGTTCCAAGCAAGGAGCCTGTAATTCAGTGGTTATAGTTGGTTGCTGTCCGTCCCAATGGTTTATTGTTTATGTTTTTATCATTATTCAGGCTGTTTTTCTTTTTTTTCTTGTTTTTGTCATGTCGGGGTCATTAATAACTGACTGTACGGTATGCGTTTTGCTCATTGATAAAGACCGTACGGTGACCTACATTACTTCCTTGTCTTTTGGTCGGGTGACAACTTTTAATTTGTTATTTGGAATAATTTAAAAAAACAATACTGTATTAGTCGGTATCAACATCTTATCTGTAGATATAAGATTTCTGGTAAAAATTTTCTCATCCGAAATTTTATTGTAATGTCATTTGAAGCACTTAATGAAAAGTGATATACATTTTCTTGTTCAATAACCATGATAACATAACTTATTACAAAAATAGATTCTTTCTTCCGATAGTATGACGATTTTCAATAATTACTGGCCTATGCCAAATGACCAGTGGCAGGTCAGACTATTTGTGTAATCCAATATTGACGATGGATGTGGTCTGTTATATTTCGCGAAGTTTGGGGCGTTTTCTGTGATACCTTTTTATGATTGATTGATTGTTTGTTGGTGTTTAACGCCACTTTCAACGCTCATCGCTATATCCCGATGTAGTATAACAACATCATGAAATTCTTTTGTAAACAAATTATTTTCTATCAAGAGAAATACAAGAATTATTCAGGTGTTTTTATAATAATTGCTCTTACTCTTTGGTTTATTTTTTCATAACAGATATTATTATTGTCTAATTAATTTTGATAAACAGTTGGTTCACTGTTTCAAAGTTTATACCAAAACGTTCTTATAATTCATGTACATGTATCATTACATCAGATCGTGCAATGTAAAAATCTGTTTCTGGGAAAAAGTGTCCATTAATAAACGAAGTAGTTATATATATTAACGACGGCAAACAACTAAAACCCTAGATTTCAGGACACTGGCTTGGGACAGGTACATAAGGAATGTCATACAAGTGAGAGGTTTAGCTAGCTATAAAACCAGAATTAATACACCATTTTCTGCATAAGAAAATGCCTGTTCCAAGTCAGGAATATGACAGTTGTTATTAATTCGTTTGATGTGTTTGAGCTATTGATTTTGCCATTTGCTTAGGGACTTTCCGTTTATAATTTTTCTCGGAGTTCGGTATTTTTGTTATTTTCCTTTTGGCGTGGTTAAACATTTGTGAGAGCTCAACCTTTTTCCCCAACATGAGACAGTGGTGCAACAACACACTATTAAAACTGTAAAATTAAATTTGAAAAGGATTACATCATCAGAATTGACAGTTTTAGAACTGTGAAATTATATTTGAAAGGGTTTGACTCATCAGAACTGTACTAAGCTAAACAACAACTTACAAAAAGATAAATATTTAAAGTACCGTGTGTTTACTGCAAATCCAAAGCCAAATTTATACTAATAAATACACCAACTTCTATCATCAAAACTACCTCAAAATGATTTCATTTGAAGACGTCATAATGCGATATGGAAAAAAGATTACCTTTTACATTATAAAACGTAGTATCGACAGGATACAGGATCAGAATACTAATTTCAAATAATGGATTTTTATATTTGAGTAGTTACATATTGAACTTTTTGAAATAAAATAGGTATTTGAACGGGTACAAATATTCATAATGTATACTAATTCATAATTTTCAAAGTAAACTCATTCATAAAGTTTAGAATTGTATTTCGAGCACAAAATTAAGTGTCTTATGAAGTATTTTTAATTAAGGTTGTCATAAAGTTATATGTCATATAGTTCCTGTAGACTGTTATGTATTTGTCATGTATTATTTCAAATTTCAGGTTTTCTCTTTCCTATATTTTCCAAGAGAAATTCTCGAGAATTCTTAAATCTAAAAAACCCTCAAAATTTTAAGAAATTACCGTGAATAGGGTTGTATACATCTTCGTCTTCCTTAAGAACTCTAGCAAAATGAAATCCAGAAATTTTCGTATCATGGTTATCATTGATTAAGACTTTAGCTGCTCTTAAATCTTTATGTATAATTCGCTTTGTTCCTAAATAGTCCATTCCACATGCGACCTGGAAAAAAAATGTAAAGTTTCAATTATTTCAAATTTAGTTCAGATATATATTCATTTTGTAGCTAATAGATTCATTAATTTCTTCTAAAAATACTGACGTCAGAACGGTACAAAATTGAATACATTACATTTGGCACTATTCAAAAATAGGTGTTGACTAGATGAGTTGTTGTTAAGTTGATGGAGTTTCAATAACCTATAGCCATTTTACAATAACTACAGCATATAGAAAAAGGCCATTACAAAAAAAAAAGTTGTAAATTTAAACTTTATTTACAAGCGTGATGATACCAATTTTGTCGGAAAATATTTGCTATTATAATTTGTCTAATTCGCTCGATTGTGTTTATGTGACATTGCGTTAGAAATATGCAAATTGTCTCAACGATGTAAAGTAGGCTAAAAAAGGTTGTCGCTGCAAACTCGGCAGAAAGAAATAATTAATTACAGAAACATCAATCCCAACATTACAGCTGACCACATACATACAAGTAAATTACGACAGAAAAACAAAGATTACTCAGGGAGTCATGAAAAGAAAGTGTAACGAACAGACATAGGATATATAAAAAATGACATTGTGACTAAAATAGATACAGTTGTACACGATGATACTCGTAATATGGAAACTGCTGGTAGTAGATGCATGGGGTGATTTAGGTTGTTTTGGACATACGCTTCAATTATGCATCAATTTAACTAGGTACTACATCATAAATGGTAGCAAAAGGTCGTAAGATTTTTGGTCACTTCAAAAATTCGACAACGCTAACTACTAGGATGAGAAAACGACAGAAACTGTTCAATGCTACTCAGCACGAATTAATACAGGACGAGACAACAAGATGGAAATCAACTCAACTTATGTTGGAGAGCTGAGCCGAACACATGCGATTTCTTAATGACATCATGTTAGTACAAAGAAACAGGACATGTTAATGTTACCAAAAGATCATGAATGGGATATCGTGTCGGACGTTCGATCGTTTTGAAGGATTTGTGTTGTGAAGTCCTTGTCACACAAGCATTTGAAATTGGATATTTTAGTAGTATAAAAAACACACATTACTTTCTTGATTATTTATGCCATCAGTAACATCGATACATATACAATAACATTATTTGTTTTTTGATTTAGCTCTTCTGGCTTTATATAGCAAATATGAAACAATGAAATGAGCGCATTCAATAATGACAGGATCATATTAAACAAAGGAAGGAGTTTTAAACAAAGAACGGAGTTAAGTTAAACAATTAACGGATCTTTAAATACATCATAACAAAAGAAGTAATAAGCGGAGTGCAATTTTAAATACATGTTCACGCTTCGCGACACTCCCCAATCAAAGTTAAACAGTTATAAGTGTCACTGAATTAAATGTTCATAAATGTCCTGTTCCATATTAAAGTCTGACACATATGTTTGTCCATCAATAGTTGTAAGAGTTCTTTGAAAAGTAAGAATCAATGTCTGCTGAATAATTGAGTTGCCGATGGTCAACAGGGATCTCTCATCATTTATATCATCGTCGTCATCATCACTGAATATAATTATATCATTTGTATTATTGTTAATGTCACTATGAGGCTGATCATCCGACTTGCAGCAATCAGAAATTTTATCATAAGAACTGTGTCGGCTCTCCGCATCACTCGTACCACACGAATCAACATCTTTGCTTGTATTTTCACATTCTTCTTCATGCTCATCTGTAGCTGTACAGTAATTTATTTCATCATCACTGATATTATCCAAACTGTCTAGAAATTCTTCAACACTCATTGATGGTACTACTTTTTGTTTTTCCGTTTCTATAGCATCGTTAATCAGGTCTAGAATGGTATCATCCTCGCTAACATCATCATAATATTGTTCATTGTTGCTACTTGACCTTCTTTCTGCAGATAACGATTTACATCTAGCCAACTCTTCTTCGATGCCATGAATGGTAGTTAAATGATTAAACAATTAACTTCTTCTGATAAATGTTGAACTGCAGTTATCTTCTGTGCAGTCATACGACTCTAGGCTAGCATGGTGTTCTTTGATATGTCGTATGAGATTCTTCTCGTATTTATATTCCCTGTATCAAATTAAGCAAGTATACATCGTGGCTACGGTAACTATGCGAATGAAGATTTAATTCAATAGATCGGTTTTTATACAACCACATAGACACTGAATGAGAAACTCGTGCAAAATAAAGCTCCGTTTAAATTGAATGAGAAAATCGTACAATATCAAGCTCCATTTCAATTTCAGCTCCGTTTAAATTTCAGAGATTTAATGCTTCATTAAACACAATATAACATTGAGGAACACTCTATTCATTTGAATTATTTCTAAATATAACTTTATACAAATATTATCAACACAACAACACATATATATCGATCATAAATTTAACTCTTGGATTTTCTTTTTGGCAATTTCTGCCGACGTCCGGATAAGTCTTTTTGGCATTTCTCTTTCTTTGGGAATAATTGCCAAGTCTTGTGATTTTGGATCATCGTTTGAAACTTCATCTATTTCTAATGAATACAACAAATTAAGTGGACGATCAAATATATTTCCATTGGCTAATCTCACTTTAACCGACCTCAACTGGCCATCATTACTTCGAATCAACTTTACAATCCACTCCAATTTCCACATTCCTCTTGGTAAATCTTCTTTTATGATTACTACAATCCCAATACGTGGAGATATTGTAGACTTTATTTTTCCACACTTTAAGTCAATTTGTTTTCTTTCTCTTAAAGTTTTCCAAAACGAGTTTAATATATTTTGTCCTTTTCGCCATAGTTTCTTCAGTTTTTCAGATGATGTTTCACACGTTTTGTAAGAAGGATCTTTCAGATCATAATCGACATCGCAAGGAAATGATTTGGGATTAACGTTGTTCTCGATTTCAGTTCTTCATCGACATACACTAATGGTCTCGAATTTATCACAGCTTCTATTTCTTTCAACAGGGTCAATAACTGAACATCTAAAATGGAACGTTTTCTCAAAGTTTTCCTTAGACAACGCTTTACGAGCCCAACTAAACGATCATAGCATCCACCCATCCAAGGTGCAAGTTCTGTTATAAATGTCCATTGAATTCCATAGCTGGACATGTAATTTTGTATTATTGTATTTTCCCAGACTGATTTTATGGTTTCACTTCCTAACTTAAACTGAGAAGCGTTATCACTAATAACCTCACTTGGTGTTCCTCTTGTCGATACAAATCTACGAAATGCACAAATGAATTCCTCAGTTGTCATGTCATTCACAATTTCCAGATGAATGGCCCGTGTCACAAAACATGTAAATAAACAAATCCATCTTTTCTTCATCACAGTGCTATCCTTCTCATAAACTGGACCAAGGTAATCAAGACCAGTTCCTTGAAAAGGCAAGCTTCTGGAGACTCTTGATCTAGGAAAAGGAGCCATATTTGGAATTTTGAAAGAACCACCTTCAAATCTCTTGCATGTTTTACAATGCCGTAATACTTGCCTAACAGTAAATCTTGTGGAATCCAAAACTTGTTCCTGATCCTACACAATGTATGAGAAACACCACTATGAAAGGTTCTTTGTGAGTTTTTTCAACAAGAAGTCGGGTGAACGTCTCCCCACGAGAAAGAAGAATAGGAAATTTAGCACATTTACTAATATCAGCATTTTCAAATCTTCCTCTGCAACGCAACAGGTTATCATTATCTAAGAAAACTCCTAATTGAACTTTTAAATTGTTCTTCTGACCTGTATGAATTGAGTTAAACACATCAGCAAAACTCTTTCTTTGAACGCTTTGAATCCACCTTTTCTCAGCTTTCCTGGTTTCTTTAACAGATACATATTTCTCACTATTCGAGGGAATCCTTCTGATCTTTGAAATGAATCTTTCAATCCAGGCAGTAACTCTAATAAGTTTGTGGTATGATGAGATATCTATGTTGTATGGCATTTTATTACTCGTGATTTCTTGTCCATTTTCACTTACAAATGCACTTTCCTTTTGGTTTTCACTTTTGAATTGGTCATTAACTTACTGATTAGCAGCATCATCATCATGAATCTTTTCCCAAGTATTCTCGTCTTGTTTCAGCCAACTAGGACCGTGCCACCAAAGGTGATTTTTTGTACTAATGTTCCACGGGTTGCGACGTCTGCTGGGTTTTCTTTTGTAGAGACATACATGAAACTTATATCTTTATGGCTTGTAATTTCTTGAACTCTATTTTCAACAATAACTCTAAGACTCCCAGACTTTTCTTTGTTGATAGCCATTTCAACACACATTGTGAATCTGTCCATAGAAACGTCTTGTCAATCACTAGTGTCAGTTCTGTTTTTACGAACTTCAGACTTCTAACACCAATGAGAACTGCCATCAGTTCTAACTTAGGGATGGTCATACCCTTAATAGGGGCTAGCCTCGATTTAGAGAAAATCAAATCACATTTTGTTGCGTTTCCGCCTGATTGATGAAGGTAAATCGCAGTTGAGTAGGCTCTTTTCTGTGCATCACAGAAACATAATAACTTATATTTCACATTATTTTGGTAAGCTTCTAATCCTATGAATCTTGGAATAGAGACTTCTGAGATTTTCCTTAATTCGGCACTTATACTAATCCATTTCAACTTATCATATCCACATATCTCATCATCCCATTTTAAGTTCCTTTTCCATAAATCTTGAAGAAAGATTTTACCACTGACTTTGACAGGCGAGAAGAAACCCATTGGATCAAACGCTTCTGCTAATTCGCTCAATGTTTTTCTCTTTGTTGAAATTCCAGAACACATTGTATTTTTTGCTGATTTCACATATATAATATCAATGTCAGTATTCCAGAGATGACCAAGTACACATGTTTCAAACACATCCGTCCTGTCTTTGGTCGGCAATTATTCATTGAACATTTTACTACTGGAAATCCATTCTCTTAAATTCATTGAAGCATTTTGAAATATATGTTTAGCTTCTGAATAAAACTCC